AGGAAAACTTGAAATCGCATCATATGACCCCTTTAAATCATTGTGCACCCACTGTCATGCCCTTGAAATCGTGAAGAAAAAAATCATGTTCCCATTTCAGAGGCAAAGAGGATGACCAGATCACAGAGTTTAGCATTAGGATTCTGTAAGTGGTAATGGCCCTCCATTTGTGAACAGATAGGTGGCACAGTGTGTGCCAGTAGCCGTATACCTGAGGGAGGAGACCGTGTTTGTCTGACCATCTCTTTTTCTCCCTCCTTCTCTTTCTTTCTCTCTCTCTCTCTCTCTCTCTCTCTCTCTCTCTGCCCAACTGCTCCGGGTATGGCATCTTCGCCTAGAAACACACAGCGTCTCCCTGACATGCTGCTTCAACACTAACTGCGGTTACTGAAACCACGCCTTCTTTCTTTGCGTGCACATTTGGGCGGCATTACGCAAATATTTCCACATAGTGAGGTAGATATGTGGGGGCGTGTTAGAATGAGCCGTTTTAGGGGGGCGTGGCAGAGTCTTAACTTTGATAAAGAATAGCTCTTTGGTTTTGAGATTTAGTCTTTGCAACTTCAGGGATCTTATCTATTCACAAACAGCTTGTAACACTCCAAAGAGTAAGGAAAACTTGAAATCGCATCATATGACCCCTTTAAATCATTGTGCACCCACTGTCATGCCCTTGAAATCGTGAAGAAAAAAATCATGTTCCCATTTCAGAGGCAAAGAGGATGACCAGATCACAGAGTTTAGCATTAGGATTCTGTAAGTGGTAATGGCCCTCCATTTGTGAACAGATAGGTGGCACAGTGTGTGCCAGTAGCCGTATACCTGAGGGAGGAGACCGTGTTTGTCTGACCATCTCTTTTTCTCCCTCCTTCTCTTTCTTTCTCTCTCTCTCTCTCTCTCTCTCTCTCTCTCTCTCTCTGCTCAACTGCTCTGGGTATGGCATCTTTTTTTTTTATTTTTTTTTTCTGAGGATGGATTTAGAGGAAGAATATTGGGTATCATGGAAGATTTACAGCACTGTACATGGTGTACAAAAATGGGAGATCTACTCCTCAACTCCTAGCTTTGTTTATACTTGGTCCTCTTAATGACAATCTCTCTCACCTTATCTGTTTCATCATAATCCTTCATATGGTAAAATAGCACATCACATGAGCCACTTGATTGGTTAAAACCTTACAAAGAATCAATCCACACAGTCTCATATAGAATGATACGCACACAGTATATTTTTTCTAATTACATATTCATGTAAAAAAGCCCACAATGATTTGTACCAGGAAAGAGCAGAGATAATTTTAACACTTTTTTTTTCTTCTTGATCAGAAAACACCCGGCGTACCATATTAAAATTAAGTTATAATATTAAAATGAAGGGAACAACATAAATCTAGCATTTTTGTAGGGTATCAGAGCGAATCAGACACTTTAAGATTTGAACAGATTGTTGTTGAACAACCCAAAGAGCCAAATTCCACAAAGGGGCCCAGGATGAGACAACAGGACGTTTGTAAATCAGATCCTAGCGCCAGCCAGTCTGAAGCAAGCCTAACTAACCAACTCTTTCACAGAACAGCTTTCAACATTAACACAAAAGAACACATTGATCATAATAACTCAGGAAGGAGATTGTCAATTTTGGGGCAAGTAATCAAGATTGATGGTCAAAGAGATGCACAGCATGACCATCACATGTAAATCCATGATATTAATCACGATCTTTGGATTGACTTCCCCCCACCTAGAGGACAAGAACCAGACTGAGATTCCTTAGGAGACCTTTTAACCTCTCTGGTCTTCACAGAACATATCCTTACATCCACAGAATGTCACAGAAACTGCCTTTCCATGTATATATATGCACCTAAATGACGCTAAAAGGACTTATGAGCAACTAATCATTTCTATGCATAACTCCATATTATGTATGTAACCCATACATTTGACTATCATGTTCTAATCACTTATTGTGTGTGTATTTTGAATAACTATTGAATAGTCTATAGGATTATATTCATATTGGGTATGTATCAGTTTGAAAATTCATGCTTTAAACGTTTCTATCAATCAATACTTTGTCAAATGTATCATACTCTTGTTATAGAAATTGTCCAAAATTATACTCTGCAAGAGCGGGAAAATTCAGACCATGTGACTGTTAAGATAACATTTGATTTATGAATTGTGAGGAGAAATATAGCAAGACCCCGAGCTAAGACAGTGTCTAATTGGTCAAAACACCAGTTGGGATGTGTCCAACAGCCCGGTTTAAATACTCAGGACACCATCAAATTATGCTTTTTTTAGTCATCGCTTTTAGCCACTGCTTTTAGGCATGGCTTTTTGCCATTACTTTTGCGTTCTTCGAGCACCGTTCCAGCGTGCTTCGGCCTGCACGCCCGCTGCTACTTAGCCACGATGAGAAGATAACCATCTAGTCTCGTTACTTCTATTCTTCTACTTTCATTTATTTTCTTTTCCGTTGAGAGTTTTGTGTTCGGAGTTAAGTTTTGTCTCCGAGTTCACCTCGAGTCTGTGACCGCCTCAAAACTTCAACCAGCCCACAACTCCGCATCTTCAGCCAACGCCCAACCACTGGCTTCCCAAGACATCACTTCAACGACTACTGAACTTCCAGCCAATCAGCAACCTCGGGAAAACCCCTTTTCTGCAAGACTACAACAAAGGGAACCCCCCTACACAGGCAACGCAAGTACCTCCAGATTATGTGCTGAACTGGTGCATTTAATATAAATTTTAACCTCATTGAGGAACTCAATTCAAGGGTTAATTAAGTGATTGATGCTTGTTCAGGTCTATGCAATTGCACATATTGCTGTAAACTTGGGATTTCACATTTTCATTCTCTTAAACTCTTCTTTCATTTCATTCTTTCCTCACTTTCTCTCTTTATGCAACTTGTGTGAATGTGTGAGTGTGTGTGTTTATGTGTTAGACTAGTTTATGTCTTAGATTTATCAATAAAGTGTTATTGATATTGAAAAGATAAGTATCTTGTGTTTTGTGCTTACAAGTTAATGTCTTTAACTGCCAATCTTGTTACTGTGCTAATTAATAGTGTTTTCACTATATTGTAATATCCATTGCAGAGTTGATGTTATACGGCTCATTCAATGAATCGCTGGCCGACTCAGTGATCAGCCGTAAAACAGTGATTATGTCCAAATTCCCTATTAAAACAAACTATTCCCTTTGAGCTAAATTGACCTGTTTCCCTTACATTTTATATATATGATTTTTTTATATATATATTTGATTAATTGCATATATTTGAGACTGTGGGGAAAAGACACTTCAGTAATTAAAAAAAAACATTATTTGTTATTTGGATTGTTTTATTATTATATATTATATTATATTATATTATATTAAACTACAATCCTGTTTACATTTTTAATTGACATGAACATAAATGAAATACAACAATATAATACAAATCTATTGCATGCTAAGTGTTAACAAAGTTCTGGACCCACATATCCTCAGGCAGCTGATACAGTACATTCATTCAGATAGAATCTTGACAGCTATTTTAGTAATACAAACTAAACCTTAAT